TTGTAGCAGCTAGCTCCCTGTTCCACAGCATCAACACCCTTAACACAGGGGAAAAAAAGCAATACGAGAGCCTTGTTACAGCAATTCCTGGCCTATCCCTTAATAACAACTTGCTGAACCAAGGAAAGAACCTCCGACGACTACTCGAAGACAGTCCACTGAAGGAGAAAAAAGTGGTTGTGTGGCACGACGTTGTGAACAACACCATTAGCAGCCACAGAACAAACAACTATCGCCCAGCTGGTGTCGAGGAACTGACAAACTATTTGAAGACGAAGAAGCAGCAGATATTGGCGATCGTTTATTGCAGAAGGGAAGGAACGCCCGACTTGTTTAGTCAGCTTCTCGGCACAGGGGTGCTCATTATTCCAGCTACAAAACGACTACTCTCCAAGAGCAAGCAAAACAACCCGGAGCAGCTCAAGGAATATTTGAAGCTGCACCAGAGTGCTGATTTGGAGCTGAAATCTCTGCGATTGGTAGTGGCACACAAAGAAAGGCTGTCAGAGCTGATTGGCAATATCAGGGGCAAACAACAGAGACCATCACAGACAAGGAGGAAGGCGAAAGCAAGACGTGAGCAGAAGCTGAGGGCAGAGGAAGTGTCTGCGCTTCAAAGACAGGGGTGAGAAGAGTGTGATTTGTTTTGCTTTGTGCCTTGTGAGTTTCATTACTCGTGGCCTGCAAAACAATGACCACAGTACTTTTGCCTGCTGTTTGGCTCAGACAAATTTTGAAAAGGAAACTAACTTGGAAAATTGTGTTAGACTATTTAAAATTCTTTAAAAAAGTTCAAGTATCTGTACATAGACTGAAGTTTCTGAGAAAATGTCTGAAAAACGATCTAATACCGGACTTTTTGAAGTTTAGAGTCCCCGAGAACGGGGTTTTTTCGGACCAAGCTGTGCATAATTTTCAATTGAAACTACTAAGGACTGAAACTTCTAGGGCAAATGAGGATAGGAAAAGGTACGAGGAGATGCTAAGGAAAGCAAGATCACTGGTGCAAAAAGAAATTGACAAACAGTGGTGGGCATCCATTTTCCGATTCGTGAGGCGGCAAGTTGAGGCAAGCTTAAAGACAACATCAGAAAACCATAGAAAAAAGTTAGAAAAACTGTCCGAGAGACAAGATAAACCTCTTGGGGGGAGAAATGAGCGATCAGTTAGGGTACTTGATAATATTGAACTGCCTGAATGGGTATATGAAGTGCTATCAATGGGCCCCAAGCATCCAATTAGAGACAAATTTAACGAAACACATTTTTTGGCGGATATCGACATTTTCCTCTCACAATTGAAAAATCAAAAAACATCTGGTGAAACGTTATGTGAAATAGAAGCCGCGGCAAAGGCATATGCAAAAAACGTACGGCAAACCCCAAGAGACAAAGCCGTTGAAAAAACGAGGAAATATCTCAAAGATAATGGGTTGCTGGCTGTGCCTTTTGATAAGGGGGTTGGTTTTTGCATAATGAGGAAACAAACATATGAATCAAAGCTGGAATCCTTGTTGCAATCTGCTCAGTTTGTGAAAAAAGATGCAACCACTGATGAGGTGATACTGAAAATTGAGAAAGAACTTAACAAAGAGTTACTAGCCATGAACAAAAGAGACGAGATAAGTGATCAGTTATATTCTAAGATACGATCAACAGGGGGGCAACCCGCCCGTTTGTACGGTTTAGCTAAGGTACACAAGGATGAGACACCCCTACGACCTGTACTATCACTTCCCGGCAGCTCGTATGAGAATCTTAACAAAATGCTTGCGAAGTTTTTTGACAACATCGATGGAGCAAATATAGAAACCAATACTAAAGAGGCTAGAGAAAAAATAGAAAACATTGCTCTAGATCCGGATGAAACCATAATATCTCTTGATGTGAAAAGTTTGTACACCAACGTTCCCCTGAAGGAGGCAATTGAAATTGCTTTACACAAGCTGTACAGCCAGGAGTCTCCTCCTGAAATTCAAAGAGCAACCATGAAAAGGCTTTTGAATATGGCGGTCAGCAAAGTATATTTCAAGTGTAATGATTCATGGTATGTGCAAGTTGATGGTTTAGCAATGGGAGCGTCCCTCGCTGTAATTCTGGCAAACTTATGGCTGAAAGAATACGAATTTGCTCTACGACAACAAATACCGGTGGGAACGGGGGTACAGCAAATTAATGACAAAAACGGCTTGTGCCCATGTTGCAGCAGGAAAGTCACATATAGATCAAAGGGGGTTGAATGCGAGAGTTGCCGAAACTGGTATCATCTAAAATGCGGAAAAATATCCGATGACGTATACGCATCAATAACCGAGATAGTCTGGTACTGTGAAAGCTGCTGCCGAGCTAAGAACAAGGAGAAGGATACTCCCCAGGTGAAATTGTTCCTCAGGTATGTGGATGACATTGTTAGAACAGTCAGAGGGGAGCCGAGTTGTCTTCTCGATGCCGCCAATTCTCTTCATCCAAATTTGCAGTTCACTCTAGAGAAAACTAATTCGGAGGGGAATTTGCCGTTCCTGGATTTGAACATAAATATATCGCAGGATAGGCGTGTAACTTGCAGTTGGTATCAAAAACCAACAGATACAGGGACTATACTGAACTATAGAAGCTGCGCCCCAACTCAGTATAAGCGTAGTGTTATCCAAGGCACTGTACACAGGGTTTTTAGGAGTACATCTAGCTGGGAGCAATTTGATGAGGCTATGGAAACTAATAGGGCGCAATGGCTGACAAATCAGTACCCTGAAAATTGGTCCGCAAAGGTGGCTTCAGACGCCTTGTGCAAGATCATCGAGGGTAAAGGCAAGCCCCTGGATAGTGACAGGGGTTTGTCAGTTCAATCACCAAAGGATGAAAAGCCCCCAATGCTGATGGTGCAATATAGAGGTAACCAGAGCCAATATTTTGCTAACAGGTTACGAAAATTAACGAACGTTCAAGTGGTTTTCACCACAAGAAAACTACAATCATGTTTACCATCACTGAAGTCAGCATTTTCTAATGACCTCAAGTCAAGAGTGGTTTATAAACTGTCATGTAGTGGATGCACTTCCACCTATGTCGGACAAACTGTTCGACATTTGACCACTAGAATTGAGGAACATAGGAAAGCAGACTCACCGGTAGGCCTCCACCTTCAGCAATGCCAACTTGAGGGAAATAGCGCAGATCTTAGTTGGGAAATTATAGATAGGTCAAACAACCAAACAAAATTGCTAACACTAGAGGCAATACATATCAGGAAAGAGAAATCGGGCTTGAACACGCGCGATGAGTTTAGGAGCAGGGAGTTAACACTGAAAATTTAGTCCCAAAATATTTTTGGTTTTTTATTCAAAACGTACATGTCTAAATCGAAATTATGACTCAGAAACTTCCAGACAAATTAATTTTAAAATGTTTAATTAATTTTAGAGGTTAAAAGTATTTTAATCTTAATAGTAATTTAGAGGTCAACTGTGATTGGCTAATTTTTTATCATGATGGTTTAGAACCAAATTGTATGTGATTTATTGTAAATAACATTTGTAAATTGATGTTTTATCGTCATTTAGAGTAGTTTATTGTAAAAATCCTGACGATGCACATAGTTGCGAAAACGTTTGAAATATACTTTTTAGCAAAAATTTCTTACTAATTTAGTTACTTCTAGTTCTCGAGTGTGCTGCTATGTAAGTACCTAATTTAATTCTCCCGAGTGTGTTTTATGATTGTTATGTTGAGGTAAGGCGAGTTTTAGGTTGATCCATCTGAAATGGATCAAAGTTCCACTGTCTAATAAAAAGTAACTTAACGGATTGTTCCGACCCTGTTTTTAACGGCGTTCGTGTATTTTGGGTATCTCGAGACCTAAGTATGGGGACGTTCTTATTTTCTAGAGTGGGGAGATTTTTTGGTAGTGGTCTTTAAGCTGTAACGGGTTCTAGTCTCATGTCGCAAGCGAACCGAATTGGCTCCGACCGTTTTGAGGTAGAAAAACACAAGAGATAGTGTCCCTGACTCTTGAGCCAATGGTTATAGGGCCTATTTTTCTTATGTGACCGAAGTAGGCGACTGTTACACTATCGGGGAATGCGGCTCAGTTGGTACGCACCTTTTCAATGTACATTTTGTACAAAATTTCCTTCGAAATTCAGTTAAACTTTTACATTGACCGAGAGCAAATGAGCAGAGCTACCATCTATGAAAATATCAATATTTGCTTACAATGACGTGCCAATGTAATGCCGGTCTGAAAATGCCAGTTTTCCTGATCTGCACTAAGTTTTGCATCCTAGTGAAATCTTTCAAGAGTAAGCGTAGTAAAAAATTGTTCATGCAACGTGAAATGTAACGTTCATGTAACTAAACACAGACGTTTGTTACTCCTTCACACGTAGTAAAAAACTTTGTGCAGATAAAGAAAACTGGCATTTTCAGACTCGAATTACATTGGTAAGTCATTGTAACCAAATATTGATAAAAGATTATTCATATAAAGTAAATTTCAAAAGTTTTCGCAACTATGTGCATCTTCTGGATTTTTACAATAAACTATCAAAAATCTCTTATCAATATCAATACTTTCACAGATGGTAGCTCTGCTCATTTGCTCAGACAAAAGTTTTACTGAATTTTTTCTGAGCAATTGTAAAACAAAAGTTTTACATTTGCTCAGACAAAAATTTTACAGTCAATTTAAAAGTTTTACTGAATTGTGATGGAAATGTCTAAAATGAACATTGAAAACAGTCATTTTACTGAGTAAAATCAGATTTTGCGCTTTAATTTGTCCAGTTGTGTATCTTTGTATAGATTCACTTTTTTTGCCTTTCATGCCTTGCTGACGTAGAACTCCTAACAGTTTTTCTGTTGGACCAAGTCAAATGCTTTTTCAATTTCCGATGCTTTATAACGACATCTTTGTTTTCAATCTCATTTGTTTCAACACCACATTTGGGCATTTGATCTTATTTTCTCGCTACGTGTTCTTAAACTTGTCTATTTTTCAGAACAAGTAGTGAAATTTTCTGCTCAATTGATTTAGCGTCCTAACTAATTCATTCAAAGATGACTGGTCCGAAAATGGATCCGTGGAATGATTCAGGAAGCAATATTGCTGCGACTTTTGCTAGTAATACTGGAAATCTACAGCCAGTGCTGAGGTGGAAATTTGACGAGCTCTTTTTTCGCTGGATGTCCCTACCGCAGACTGTTCAATACATGGAAAAAATTGCATCCAAGGTATGCTTGTGTTTCGCGTTTTCGTTTGCTTTTAACATATGAATGATGCATCGAGCGGTTTCTGTCAATTAAAATGAATTTTTGTCCGACTAAAATTAAGTGCCTGATCAACGCCCTTTCATCCCAAATGGGGCAGTACAACTGCGCCGAAAATCAAAACCTTGTTCAACAGTGCCGAAAGTTATTTTGAGTGCAGTTTTTACTCATCTCAAATCAATGACAAGTAATTATATTCAAATAGACGGATGTTGATAAACGAAAATGGCAAAAATATTGTCCTTGTCGTGAACAATCGGCCAATTTAAAATAAAAACAAGATTACTCGTATCAGCCGACTGCCTTTTAAGGTATATAAAGCAGTAATAACATGAAACATTTAAATGTAATAAAAAAAATTGAGGTTTTTTATGAAAACACCCCCCCCCCCCCTCTTCATATTAAGTACAAAATGATAGATTTTGCTCCTTTTAACAATCACCTATGGCATATAAGCTTCCTTGAACCAATTTGGAACGATTTCTATGACGGATTAAGTCTCGCTTACGCGTTAAGCGAAATATATCGCGCGTTAATTGTCCCAAAATGGTCATCTTTAAACCCCCATAACTTTATGAAAAATTATCACAGAGGAAATATCTTTTCAAACTTAAGCTCAGGGCAACAATAGCTTTCGAATGATATAAGAAAATTCCGTCAAAAATGGCTGATTAAAAAGTCGAAATTTGTCTGAAAAAAAAACCCACCCCGAGTACAAATATTTCCGTTACGAAAGTCGGAACAATAAACAAGAAAAGCATTCGCTAACTGTTAACTTACTTCTGAAAAAATTTCAGCAAAACGGAAAATTTACCAATCAAATTTGTGGTTCCTGTTCAAGCAACAGCAGACTTATGGCGATACGTAACTCATTCAATGAAATGATAACCCAGGATATGAAAATTGCAAATCGTTTTAACTATGCATTTTTAAATTTGGTTAAGTTTTTTTGGCTCTGTTAAGTGTCAACATTATAATCCAGGTACGTCTGAAGTTCCACCCTACCTTTTTCAGTACATAACTGTGAAGCAATGCTATGGTCTACTTCGAGAATTAAATATCAGAAAACCCCTGTGTCCGTCTACTGTACCTGCTTGGGCAATAATCGATGACCATTCAATAATTGTGACACACCTTACTTTTGTTAATAATGCCGGTAAAGATGAGAATGTGTTTGCACCTGAACTGAAAAAAGCAAATGTCAAACCATTATTACAAATTGATGACCCGATGGAGCAAAAAAATTATCGCCCTATTTCAATAATGTTGCATTTTCTAAATTTTTTGAGAGTTTTTCATGTTCAAATAACAGAATATTTGGACAAATATCAAAGAATGACTCCTTTTGAGTTTGGATTTCGCTAAGGGTTCTCATCACAAGATGTGTTGATTTACGTTAAAGAAAGTGTCCGAAAAGAAATACTTTCTAATAAATTTGTTTACGCAGTTAAATTGGATCGTTCAAAGGCTTTCGACTCTATTTCACATAAAATTTTGGAAAGAAATTAACCTTGTGTTGGGTTTCCAATGGAGGCAAATGCAATAATTAATGATTTTATCAATATATGCCTTCAAAGGGCAAATTTGATCGGAATTTCTTCTGGCTGGATTGAAGTTATAGAGGTGTGCTACAAAGTACCGTACTAAGTCCGTTGTTGTTCAATTTTTATATCAGTGATATACAAAAACGAATATCTCATGAATCTACTTGATGCAATATGCAAACGAATGTGTGATATTTGCCTCAGTCCTATCTTCAAGTGACGCTTTGAATCAGTTACAGAGTTCCTTGCTGAAGCTCACTAGTTTTTTTTGTAGTTGAATTTAATGAAAATTAGTTGAAGCTGAATGTATCGAAATCAGAATTTATAACTTTTTGCCGAAAAAAAATTATAAGCCGAATGTGTAAACTGGCGGACTAATTATAAATTATCAAAAGATAGAGAAGAAGTTTGGCTGTTAATATATAGGTCTGATTCTTGATTCTAATATGTCATTTCAAACTTAAAACAACAATAATATTGCAAAAAAATGGCTCAAGAAATTTAAGCGACCTATGGTATTGGACAATGACTTCTATGATTGTCTTGGTTGCTTTGCTTCACTGTTTAGTTTTGTGTCATTTAGATTATACCGCAATTTTTTTGTAACAATTTCAAGGCTGTCCCCAGAAAAGCAGGTGAACTGGGCTTTGAGACGCACATTCTTTTAAGACCAAAATTTAATTAATCTGCCGCACTACGTAAAAATGAATCATTTATCGGAATTGAGAACATAATTGAATTGAAAAGTGTTACATATCTATAGTCTTATCTAATTAACTCAAGGAAAGCTTTTACAAATGCAATGAGGCTACCGACAGCTCTTTTTAGAATAAGTCACCGAGTTAAGCAAATAATATTCGATTACTTTTGTTCAACTGCTTCTCTTAAACCTTTTTTTTCATTTGACATTAAAAATGGAATTTTTTGCCAATTAAATTACGAAAATTTGATATAACCACATCAGCGTTCAAGAACAAATTAAACAGTTCTACACTACTGATTTGCCATCTAATCCTATATGTACATATACAAACACATAGCATGAATGCCGTCTTCATTAGTGTATTTGCAATTACATGTTGAATTTCAACAATGTTCGAATAATTTTGTTGATAACAACTTTTAAGGTTGTACAATATTTCCTTTTATTTTTCACTGTCATTCCTAATTTGATAACTTTTTATGATGTAGTAATTTCATCTCATTTTTTAAAACATATGTGTAACTTATCTGAATCGGTACCTATTATTAATTTTACACTTTTACTATACTAATGCAATGACTTTTGTGTATAGTAATTAAAGTTCTGATTTAATTGATGCCCTCAAGCGCGGCGTCATAATTTTTTGTGAACAATTAGTTATTTCAGCAAACTGGGGTCTAGAAAGTTAGACGACAAGCTAATTAGACGGCTCCAATTAAACTGAATTTTGACGAAAAGCATTTTGGACGAAAAGCAAAGGGCTACAAAAATTTATTGCTTGAAACTTTCCATAATCCAAAACGAGTTTATAAGCCCTTTGCATATCAAAATATTTATTATAAATGATTTATAGAACGTTAGTCCAAATATTATAAAACATGTTTAAATGCATACATTATACATACAATTGCGACACGCGAAAAATTGATTCGCATTTAAGAAAGCTCAAGTTTTCGTTCCGGTTTCGCTCTGGAAAACAAATCAGTATGCATGCAAAACTGCAAGCGGTTTACAAAAAGTACGCAAAATTTCCGTTTATGGTCAAATTTTGAGACTGTTGAACTCATTCTCAGTTTCGGCACTTGTTTTTTGGTACTTTTGAACGCCCCGGGCGCTTTTTTCTTGGCAAGGGCAATTTTGCAATCTGGTATTTAATCATAGGGGTGTGTTCAGCGGTTGGAAATATTGTGTTGCAATATTAGTGTTACTGGACAATCATCTATGGTCGGATTTGCTTCCCAGACAATCAATTATTCCAAAATTGCTCTCAATAAAACAATAATTGTGGCACTCCGAAAAAGAAAAAAATGAAACAAAATTCAAAATTTTACCAGTGATGCTTACAACTGCAGTTTATAGATCAATTTAACGTTCCAGAAGTTGTGGTTTATCATCAAAAAAATTGAATTGCCAAATGCACGGGTGTCGTTTTTTCCGAGTCTTTCAGCAAATACTTCGATCTGCTGAAGAGGCTTTCAGATATGTTTGATTTCAACGGAGGTAACAAGGGGCCCAGTTTTGTCGTAAAAAAGTTCCACGATCTGCTTTTTCGTGAACATGATAAAAGTGAAAACGCAAAATGTTATTCAACAACGGGTACGGCAAGCTGGGCTGATGAAATGCACGCAAGTTCGTTGTTAACAAAGTTGTGCCACTTAAGTGCATGCCGAATTGCTTTTTCTCATCTGAGCAGTAACTACTATTTGATTTCGCTATAATTATAATTAATTATCCCTCTAAAAGTGGAAGGCAAAAACTGTTCCGAACATTGAAAAAGGAGGAAATTTGTATACAGGTGTTTTAGTTTTTTGTTTTCCACGTAAAATTAGGTACCAGAAATAATCATCGGACATCATATTAAAGCCCTTTCAGTGGTGATTCGAACGACATTAGAAATTCTAAAACAAATCCCAGTGTCCGGAAAAACGGTTTGAATTTCTTGATTTTTCGTCTATTTCCGAAAGAGTAAAGCGATCTAATAACGTTCGTATGTATAAAAATTACCAATTTAGATTAAAAATTGATAATTTTACTAAAAGAAAACATTGTTCTGGATGCTTTTTATAGTGCTTCTCTGGCAAAAGAATCAAAATATTTGAAAACTTAAGTGCAAAAAATTGAAAAGAAAAAATTTTTCATCTTCATTTATTTATTTGTTTGAAGACAATTGTAGTAGTTTATGCCTAATTCACTAAATTACTACGCGTTTGTATAGCTCTATCATCACACGACGTACAAGAAAAGACTCTAAATTGAAAACAACGTTTCTGAGAATGTGGTCGGAACATTCTGTGCTACTTTTACAGCAACCGGCTATCCTTGTTGCAATTTGGAAACTACCCACAATCAATTATTTCAATTGTTATTTCCAACCCCTGGGTGTGTTCATGGGCCTTCCTCTATCATTTTTAATTTAAAAAATCAATAATTGAAAAAAATGGATTTTTTTTGGTTTAAAATGACGGAAGGAGGCAGGTAATCAACAGATAAAGCTAGAACTGAAATGTAATAGCCAACTTGGCCACCTGCGAGCGTTTTTGATGGATCTAAAATTATTTAGAAATACAGTTCGAAATTTGAATTTATATTAATGTCAAGTTGAAGGATTTATGTAAAGCTTGTCATGACCTTTCAAGTTGAGTTTCCATAAATGTGGCCGTAGTTTTCCTAGCACTCAAGCCCCAGTTCTATAGCCCATCATTGCTGGTTGTAGAATCCGAGTTTTTAATCTTACTTAGATAAGAGACAACGAAGATCCATCTCAAGTGCCTTGGTCAGCCAATACTTCAGACGCCAACTATAACTTCGGTCAAAATTCAGTTTCGTCAACACATAGTACGAGTGTTTCTGGAATTAATGTAAATGGTGGCTATCCAATATCCAACGGAGCTACTCAACAAAGGTTTCAATCGACGGTCGGGGGTATGGCTGTAACACCAACTCCTCCTGCAATTGCATCACCAAGGAACAATAGCACCGGTAGACACGGCAAGAAAGGGGTATACTCTCCAAGGTCATCGCATTCCAACGAGAAGGTAATATAATTTTTTATATAGAAAAAAGTATAATGCGATTTTTGCTCTTCTTGGTTAAAAATGGTTTTTTTTACATCCCTTTATTAGGTGCTCAGTCCGCGTAGAAGTGATGAACAGGTAGCCAATTCTGCAATTTCGGCCTGGCCGTCCTCTTCTCAAAGTGCCACTAGTCCCGCTGCAGTGAGCGTATTAACAAAATATCCGACAGTAGACAGTGATTCTACTGCAACTGAAGCCAGCAATGCAATACAAACTGCCAAACAAACTTCTCCTCCAGCCAAAAGTTGGTGTATTTCAACTATTTCGGTAGGTTTTATGCAAGCGAGCTTGAAAGTAGTATTTACAAGTCAGTTCTCCTTTTTATCAACGCAAATCACACGTTATTGTCCAAAATTCATGATGAGTTAATTAAATAACAGATCTAGCTTCATCCCCTTTAGTAAAGAGCATTATTTGCCCCCTAAAATCTAGGAATATGTTATGCATGAAAGAAGCAGAAAAAAGACGCCAAAAGATCTTGGAAAAGTCAAAAGCATTGAGTCGATCTAAATTATCAGTGCCAAAAGTGGCTGTTTTTTTTTGTAAATGCTTTGACTATGTTTCAATTAGCCCGCGATTTGAATTGATGTCACAGTTGACTCACTGAGCCATTGCTGAATTTTACAAATATGAGAAAAGAAACGGCAAAAAGGAAGTCTAAAATGCCAAAAGCAAAAGAGAAAGTGAAAAAAATATGCATTGGTATATGATCATTCTTGTTCAAAAGTAGTTCCAAGGACGAAGTTTATAACTACCGACCGGTAGCGCTCCTTCCATGCACCAGCAAAATATTCGAGCAATGCCTTAATGATCGATTATTGGATGTTATTGATCCTCAGCTCTCTGATTAACAATTCGGCTTGCGAAAAGCACGATCATCTGTAATTCAATTTCTTGTTTCGCTGAACAAACAATACGAAAATAAAGAGAAGAAATTGTCAACTCATGCTCTTTATCTAGCAACATGTTCTTCTCGAGAATTGCATACCCATGGGAGATCGTCATTAGACAAATTCTGCCTGTTTTCAGACATCTGAGTGGAAAAAAGAACAGGTTTTAATTGGGATGGTGGTGGAATACCACCTTTATTTTTGGTACAATACTAAAGAACGAAAACTTTTTAAAACCCTGGTAATAAAAAATTGTTTAGTTAGAAATTTGAAAAAAAAAATTGGTGAAATCTAAACATTGGAGAAAACCGATACTATGAGAAACATTAGAATGTTATTTTCCTCAACTCTTTGTTTCCTATCATCGTGGTCTCTAGAAACTTATGAAAAAAATTGTTAATTTCAATCCGTGTCATTTTGCAAATGATTTCAAAAAACTCGGAAAAAGATTTGTGAGACAGTTGCATAGTTTTCGAGTTCTGGTGTTTTTTAGGATTTATCAATAACTTCTTCATTCTTTTATGAGTATGATGTAATTTTAAGATTTTGTCGGATATGATTATTTTGCTGAGAGTCACAGATTCACATTCATTGCGAATAATTTTAAAGAGAAATTTTAAGACTTCGTATAAATGAAGCTCTTTCACCATATATTTTCAATTTTCCCGCAAAAAATACACTGATTCGAACGTTTTTCTTGAAGGTTAAGACTGTAATTAATCTGTTGATGTTGAGATTTAGTTGAGTTATATTTAGCCTCAAGAGTTCCAATTTTTTAAACAACTTTCTTAGCCTATTCTTTTTGTTTGCAGTTTTTTTAATTTGGCTATCTTGTCTTTATTTACCCTTTTGAGTTTCTCAGGGATTATTTTATCCTAATTGTCAATAAGCATTGCGTGAAGTTGAGTAAAGACATCCTCGCAGCATAAATCGTTCTTCGTTTCTAGGTAGTCTAAATCAGCTTTCTATAATATCTTTTCTGTTGAGTAGGTACCACTTTCTAGAGATAAGTTTTTTCAGTTTGAATTGTTTCGCCTGCCATATTTATATGATAAATAACCGAAAAATGATTTAAAATCGATGATTTTTACCGTAGTGCTGTCTTTGTGAGTTGAACAAAAGAAATCTATGCAAGTTTCTGACTTTGTTGATAACCTTGTTGGTTCTTTGGTACTCATGCAGAAAAATTCGTTCCCCATCATTAAGCTACTAATTTGAGTCCATTTTTTGAGCTGCTCATACTGTTGATATTGAAGTCTCCGCATGCTATTTGATATGATTCTGGGTCAACCACTAAATTATGAAGGTTTTGTAATTTGGAAAGGCTCTGATTATTGACTGCACTCGGTGGAATTTACACACATGATACATTTATTTCAGTTTTACAGTTCAATTCCAGAGTTATCATTTGAAGATTATTGTCGTTAATTCTTTGCTTTATCTGATATCGAATATCATCCTCACGCACAACGATACCTACACCTCCGCCCCTTTTCTTCCTATCACTAGACTCCATGTTTTTCTATCCTTCTAATTGGAACATTAATTTTGGATCATCTGGTTTCAACAATGTTTCCGTTACACTTCAAGTTATCTCCGCAGGTCATCACTGGTCCTCTTTTTTCATCAGAAAAACGTTAGCCCAGTGATATTTCTCATGCTGGCTGGATAATTCTCGTTCGGATGGTTTAATCTCTCCACACAGCGCTAGATCTGATAAGCATCCCATGATAGCGATGCATGTCTGTCTTGGAGCGCAGCATGTCTCCGCCTTGCATCAGTTTTCGTTGTATACGAAAACATCATCTTATCGGCATAAATACGCTCTCATAGCGAGATCCAACATTCTTCGACTCAGCTCCTCGCAGCCCGTCTTGTCCATTGCCTCGGCGAATGTTTCCTTTCTTTGCTCGCTTTACCCTCTGCATGCCAAAATACCTCTGTTCCCGTATTTTCATCTGGTCACAGCTTTGCACCTCATCACACTTGAATGCCTATACCAGTGGAACACATTGCTCTCTCATAGTATGACTATCTGACATGTTCTCAGGACCCTCCTTGTAAAAAATTCAGACCGCTAGTCTTTACAGACGTAAGAAAGCATGCTTTCTGCGCTTCCAAAAAGGGAGGTTGTCGTGGTGACATTTGCGACGAGTAGCGTCGCGCGTCGTTTCCACCGTTGGAGACGTCAATGCTGAACCCAGTCAACCCGGGCTAGCAACAACAACAAGCAAACAGTTTCCTGTCTTTCTATTTGGACATCTGTGATCTCTGTTAATGGAACACTTGCCTCTAGTAACAACTTCGCTCCGACATTACCTCAATATCCACAATTTACGCCAGCTGTTCCAGCTCACGGTGTTGTGATCCTGATTTCGGACCAAACCTGCTACCGATGGTGCAATTCGCTTTTGTCAGAGGCTCTCAGCGGAAGATAGTCTAGAATCAGGCTTGAGTCCCAGAGAAGTTCAGCTGGCAAGATTTTGTAAGAGATTGGTATTTGAACGTGTCGTGGACTCGTCTCAGGTTTATTAAAATTTGCGGCTTTGTGAAAGGTGCAAACATTAATCTAGTCTATCGTTACATTTCAGGCGCAGATAAAGAAAGTGGCAATAATGGGTTTTTGTATGAGTAGACGGTTGCGTTTTCTATGGTTAGTTTCCCAAATTAGTGTAACAACTCAAGTTACCCGATCTCACTATTTTTTTAAAAAAGAAACAGTCTTTTATGATTCAGTCCTAAGTTTGATTTTGTTGAGATCAATGAAGCTTTTCCAACTGCCTGTTGGCTTTGTCGGTCCATGCAAAGCAGCTGTCATGTTTAAGCTACTGATGGAACGGTGACTGCTACGCTTGACACGAGTACAGGGACACAACAGTCAGTAACTACCTCGGCCACTACTTCCATACCTCAATTCTACTTCCCACGTGGAGTCCCACTGACGAATGTTGAGACTCAAAAGACACTGTCGAACCTCAGAGACGCCTTTGAAAAACTACCAAACCGAAAAGCAAACAAAGCCAATATGCACCAAATTATGAAGGCGAGAATTTCTGGGTTTTTTACCAGTTCATTGGAAAATTTTTAATCCTGGTAAATTTATTAATCCAGTGAATCAATCATTTCGTCTTAGCGAAAAGCATGAAAAGACTGTTTGCTGATTTATTTTGCAATAGTTATATCAATTCTGGAGAAAAAGCAGTTAACTACCGAAGTTTTTATCAGGTGTTTAGTCTGTTTTATGTGAATATTTTTTAATGTAGTTAATTGACACTTTTTAAGATTGATTTCTAATGGTCTATGCTGGGTTGTTTAGATCATTGGGCTTCCCCTGTACGCAAGAGTGCCCCTGTTGGCAAAATGTAAAGTAGGAGGAGACTCTCCAAGTGCATTTGTGTCTGCTGACACCTTCATATCAACATGGAAAAAGTGAGTAACACACAATAGTGTCATTAAGTGAATTTTCTTTTTTAATTACCCTGCAATGAGCAAGAGTATTGCAATCGGTTACTAGACTTTTCCCGTAACGCACTACTTTATCACAGGACACTTAGACTCCTGGTGTTACCTTGGTTCATAGCGAATTCAAATTTCTTTTTTCATCAAGAGTTTTTTAAATTTGTTTTCGCATGAAGGGATTCTGCTGAGGTTTTTTTCTGTTTTGTTACCGCTTGGTAATTTTTTTCCGAGGCATGTTTTTCTTTCGAAACGATCTTCATATAGTTTGATAGATTGGTTGTATGTATAGTTATAAAACATCGATATTACTTTTTTGCTGATGGTTTTTTGGCTTTCGATTTAGCTCTTAGTGTAGTTTCTGAATTGTGTATACCACCTTGATTTCAGTACCTATATGGCTTTCGTGGATTTTTGGGCAGTACATGTTTTTTTTCCAATAAGGTTTTGCCGACTAATTTTGGTGGTTTTCAGCTAATGGAAATCTTCAAAAATATTTAATAAATTTAATATTTAAAAAATTGATCTTCTTTTTTTTTGTTTCTAGTTGTTTCTTCCATGATTACAACTTTCGAATAGAATTTCTCTTTGATAGTTCTTGGGTGTCTTGCTGTTCTAATCCTTTACTTGTTGTATCGCAAGTGGTAGTTTTTTCAAGTTCAGCTTAAAGGCAGCTTACAATCCCTAACGATTAATATGCAAATGGGACAAAAAATGCGATTGGCTTTTACTATCTTCTTTATTTTTTTTTGCAGCATCATGGTTTGCTTTATGGCTCCTTATATAGGTCGTGGGTGCTTTTTATATACAGTTTTTCAAAAATAAGTCGAACAGCAAAGATGGAAACGTAAATGACTTCTAGTTTCAAAAAATGGACTTCGTTTTTCTGAATTCCCGCGTGATAAAGTATCAATCATTATTCCTTCTTGAAATTCTATGGGCTTCAAGGACATTCGATGGTTGAGTTTCTTCAAAAAATAAGCCATTTAATAATTACATGTTATTAGTTTTTTAAAGAATAAATCAACCTGTTAACTAAAAAGCCAGCCCTGTCTAGTTGCTTTAAAATACTTATTGGTCCAGTTTTCTCAAGTTGTTTCGTTTTTTATCGACTATGTAGGATTTTGAAAATTAATATCTGAACTCATATTTTCTTAGCGCCTTAATTAAAGCGCCTTAAGATGAGGTACTAACACTAAGTAAGCTCCACTAGTGTTAAATGACAGCAACAAAGGTTATCCAGATTCCGATGGATAAGGGTTATGTTAAGATGAGATAAAGGCATCACGTTTTGGCACAACGCTGAATTTAGGACCACGTTTTATGAGTGAGGTCATGGTTTATAATGCGCGAGTGAAGAGGATATGATTTAAAGAAATTATGGGAGCAACAGATGATAATTTCTTTTGTAGGGTGAAATTTATCCGAAGGATAAAGTTGTCGAATTTAGCAAACACATTTTGGTAACTGGAAAAATTAGCACCGGTTTACAAGGTAAAATGCGTAGATAGCACATAATTTTAATGGAGTTGGTCTTGGTTTGTAAAACACAAACTGGAGTGAAGGCGAATTAAAGAATTTAGGAAAACACGTGAAGATGTCTTCTTTTTACTACATGAAATTTTATCCGCAGGGTTAAGTTCTTAAGTTTAGTGAACGGCCGTTAATATCTGAATGTTAGCACCGGTTTACTCAGTAATGTGTGTTATTTGGTAAGCCAGAATATCAGATTAAAGTATATCTAAGTGGTTATAAAGTTTTATAGTCTTTTAAAAAGTTTTCGAGTTCAGTGTTGAAAAGTTCACTATCAAGATCGGAGTGGTCGCCGAAATTTGCTATTTCCATTCTCAGTGATTCATCGGTTGATGAGTTTGACATTTGATCTGATGAAGATGATGAATCTGAATCTAGAACAATTAACTCCGCCGGATTCGTCTTGTTGATTGTCTCATGTGGTTCCTCAATCTCTAACACAATAGGCTCGGCCGCCGAACCAGAGGCTTCTTGGACACTCTCTACGGCATCAATAAAGTAACGTTGACCATAAAATTTTGGTGGGCCGACATTTCTACTAGAGCGACGGATAGTAGCAGGAATTTTACCGGGTATTATGGCAGGACTGTTGGATATAGTGCACTCATCCGTTGAGTCACTTATCTCATACACCGGAAAGTCTGTGTTTGAGTCGGACTCCGTCGGATTATGCTCAACTTGTAAGTCATTTTGTCCAATGGTGTCGTTTTCCCCTCCCTGATTTGCGGTTCTCTGATCCGCCGAGTTAGATGTTCGGCTGGCTGGCACTATACTTATTGGGCACTCATATGATTGATCCATGGGTTGTTCACTGATTGGGAAACTGTCGTTTTCTAAAATCTCAGATTTTATTTCAGGATTGGTTATAGTAGAATTAAATTTATTTCCGATTGAGATGTGAGGTGTAAGTGAATCCGAAATAAAGCGCTCTCTGGCTACGTCTCTACAAGGAAAACCGCCCGCTATCCATTCCCATTCACTAGTATCCGAAATATCCGAAGGAATTAGCATAGATTCATCCGAAGCGAGGTAACCTGGATGAGTTGGTGACTTCTTTGAGCGTCGTGTCTGTCTTCTTGTCGGGATGGATGATGATCCAGAAATGCGTGTCCTAGTTAGGTTATCGGATGATGTCGGGTCTAATTGTCTGGTCCTTCTTTTTGTTGACTTCTTGGGTTTTGGTTTTCTTTTTGAGCCTTCCAGTTTCTGACCTACTTCAACATTAGGGTTAGAAAAGTACGGGAATGAAATGTTTCCTCTAAAAGGTCTGATTTTATTTGAGGTAGAGATAGGAATCGCAATGTCGGATTTTCGTATTATTTTTCCGTCGGATAACTTAACTGTCGAAGTCGAAGAATTTATAATTCTTTTGTTTAGTTCTTTATAAAAACAGTCTCGGTTGATATTACCATTAGTTTTCCGAAGGATTTTACCTTTAAAAGGGCTTTCGATTGGTATTCTGTTTTGAGTCATTTTCGAGGATGAAGCATAGTCTGTATCGTAGCCTTTTTCAGTCGGATTTTGGTTCTTCTTCGCAATCAAATCGTCCTTGTATCCGTCCTCTATTCTATCATCCGCGTTCCAATCCTTAGCTCGATCCTTAGACAATATTGATTTCCCTTTGTCTAAAATTCCAAAGGAAGGTTTACCCGAAGCTAATTGTTTCCAAATAGTATTTGGTTTTCTGTTATAGTGGATCTCGAAAGGTGAGCATTTAATTTTTGATTGGAAAGTAGAACGTAGGTTCCAAATGATTTTTGAAACGGCATTTTGCAGTGTGGTTTTATGATGTTCTTTTGAGATAGCCAGTAGTTTGACTTTTACAGTGTGTACAAGTTTTTCGACTAATCCGTTGGAACGGTGATCGCCTACTGTACAAAAGATTATTTTGATGTTGTTAGAATCGCAGAATGATTTGAAGTCTTGACTTGTAAAGCAAGTAGCATGATCCACCCTTATAGAATAAGGTATCCCGTGTAAGAATATGTAGTCTTGTAAAAATTCTATAACTGTCTTTGAAGAGGTAGATGATGTAATTTTTGCCGACGGAAATTTAGAAAATCTGTCAATACAAAGTAAAATGTATTTATTTGACCCCCAATAAGAATCCAAAGGACCCGCGAAATCTAAATTAAGTTCTTCATTTGGTTCTGATAATGGAGGAAGTTCACTAATTTGTGAATTAGGAATAACAGATTTTATATTCTTACCCGCCGATGTACACTCTGAGCAATTAATTCCATGAAAGTAGATTTGTCTGTTAATGTGCGGCCACCAAATGTATTGGGCCAAATATTTCATTCCGAATTGACCTGGATGTGTTTCGTGGAGGGTCTTCATCATCGCGTTTCGTAGGGTTAATGGAATAACGAGTTTGCCGTCCATGTAAAGTAATCCATCGGATTCGTGAAGGTCTCGGGTGAAATGTTTGAAATAAGGAGAATCTGCATTAATCTTCTCCACCTTATTTTGAAGTGCTTTAACAATAGGGCTTAACATGGGATCGTCTTCTGTCAAAAGAGCCACTAACTTGGCGTTAAATAAAATATTTAAGTCCAAGGGTCGATCCGGCAACTTCAAGTTTTCACGGTATTTTTTAACGAGATTGATATGATTTGGTAAAAGTTTGAATTCTAAATCTACGGAAATACCGGAAGTGGTGGGATTAATTACAATATTCTTATTATTCATATTAACAGTATCTACAGTTTTTTTATCTACAGGTGAATTAATTAGGCTACAATTAAGAATTAAAAAATAAAGAAATGCGGAATTTGAAATGGAAATAATTAAAGTATTTGTGTTTGAATAATCCGTTGGAATACAATTTGAGGTACAAAATTCTGTTCTTCTGTGATTGAATGAGCAAATTGGAAAAGACGAGTTAATAAGTTTTAGTACTGCTGCTATTAGGTAATTACGTAATAAGACGTAGTCGGAATTTTCCAGATTGAGACCAATGGCTGAGCAAGTAGTTCTTAGTTTCTCCGACGGATTTAATGATTTATTAATCTTATTAATGTTTGCTACTACGAATTCTTCGTCGTAATGTGATGTTGGGAGGGCTTTTCCGGATGGAATTCTAGAAATAAGGTCAGTGAAGCCCATGTCTTTTCCTGCGATATGTTTGATTGAGAAATTAAAAGGTAATAATCTGTCTACCCATCTTGTTAATCTACTGTGGTAGGTTTTATTTCCGTGGTTTGGTGAAAGAGCGGATAATAGGGCCTTGTGATCAGTGATTATTTCGAAATCAGATCCGTAAAGGTAATTTTTATAATGCTCAACAGCCCAAACAACCCCTAGAAGTTCGAGTTCGTTAGTAGAGTATTTGGACTCGTGAGGATTTAAAAAACGTGACGCAAATGAGATTGTTTTCCAATCGTTCCCATGGAGTTGTTCCAGCGAGGCTCCAAGTCCATTGTGTGATGCGTCTGTTTTCACTCTAGTTTTTCGTTTTACGTCGAAATGTGTATTCTCTGTTAGGTTTACGATTTCTTCTTTTATTCTTTCAAACGCTTTTGTATGATCATCGTTCCATTGGAATATTGATTTCTTATTTAGGAGCGGTCGGAGTGGGCTTCCTAAGGATGCAAGGTTTGGGACGAATTTAATGTATTGGTTTATAGAACCAAAAAATGATCGTAATTCTTTCAGATTCTTCGGTATAGGTAGGTCTTTTATAGCTTTCGATTTGTCGAATAACGGGGTAATTCCTGATTTAGAGATTTTAAATCCCAACCATTCTATTTCTTTTTGAAAGAATTTACATTTTGACCATTTTACGGCAAAGTTGTATTCGTCGAGGGTCGATAAAATTTTTAATACAATATTCTTGTGGTCTAAGAATGTTCCTTTGGAAGAGATTAAAATGTCGTCCAAGTAACAGTTAGTAAATGGGATTGAACCTAACGTAGAGTCCATTACTCTTTGAAATTCGTTGGGCATATCCCCTAAGCCGTAAAAACCAGTTAAAAATTGGTAAGTACCCGTAATGTCACCGCCCACGATACTGAAGTTACATTGGTTACTAGTAAATTTGTCTAATGCTAATTGACTGTATGCATTTTTTAAGTCTAAGTTAGTAAACCACACTTCTCCAACGGAATCATTAGTAATTTGTGCCGCGACGTTGTCTACAAGTTCGTGGATGTTTGGCATTTGATATTTGTTCTTGTAAATCTGTTTGTTTATGAACTTGGAATCTAACGCCAGTTTGATGGATTTGTCTTTTTTGCAAGTGATGACTATTGGGCTAATAAATCTGTCTTCGTCGCAATTTTCTAATTTTTTAATATGTCCCTCTGCTTTTAATCTATTGAGTTCTGTTTTTACCGCGTCCAGTAAATGGAGGGGAACTCGTCTTCCTTTTAGTTGAATTGGTTTTAATGGTTCGTGAAAATGGGTAATTTTCATTTGATTTTTGATTTTTCCAATCCGAAGGAATAAATTTTTAAATGACTTTGATATATTAAGGATTTCCCTATCTTGGTTTGTTTGGGAAATGGAATTTATTGACTTACACTGCTTGTTGGTCTGGAAATGTGGAAAATGTTTCTGAGAGACTTCTATTCCCACTTTTGGAAGGTTGTCGTTTCCTAAGATATTCCTTTCATGTCCTTCGGTTAGGAAGAATTGACAGTCGTTGTCTGACCAACCATTTGAGAATATCGGAATCTTCACCTTTCCAGTGATGTTTATGGCATTATCCGTGAATCCACAGTAAAGGTCTCTAGTTGTCTTATCCACCGGATAAATTTTCAAGTAATGATCGCGTAATTTCAATTCGTGAAGTACGTTTTTCTTAAGAAAGCTCACCGGGCTAGCTGAATCCACTTGAATGTTTAAAATTACTTGGTTTTCTTTTCCGAGTCCGATGTTTAATAATTTCTTCAGTTCCTTTCCGTCGTTATCAAAAATTGTAGTTACATTTAGTACAGAGTAATCGTCGTTTTCACTTTGTCCAGATTCCGACCATGCGTTTATGACGCCGCAACATTCTCTATCCGTGTGGTCGTTATTTACATCCGGAAAATCCGACGGATTAAAATCTGTATTATCTACAATTTGAGTATTTACAATGTTTACATTTTTACGTCGAGATCTACAAAGTCTGGTGAAATGACCTTTGAATTTACAAGAAGTACAAGTCGTGTCCTTTGCTGGGCAAACTGCTAAGTGTCCTTTTGAGAATGAACCGCCACACTTCATACAGCTGTTACTTCTTTCGATGTTGAGAGTTGGTTCTCTTTTGACGTTAAAATGGTTGTTTGGTTTATATACAGATGATCCGTTGGATTTAAAATTATTAGTTAACTTCAAGTGATTCAGAATTCCTTTTTCATCGATGAGTGCTACGTTTAGTGCTTCGCGTGGAGGGAGGGTTTCTGTTAATAATTTCCTTTGGATATCGTAGTTTTTCATATTATTTATGAAAATATCTCTTATCCACTCTTCTTCTCCTGCGGATATGTCGCACTTTTTCGCCATTTCAGCTAAGGCACCCCAAACTTGTTCGAGGGACTCTCTGTCGCGTTGTTTTCTATTTAACAGTTTATGTCGTTCAAATGTGACATTTGATTTTCTTACGAAAGCAATCGCTAAGAACTCCCAGAATTCTTTAAAAGAAATTTGTAAGACTTTCACCTTGGTAAATTTCTGTCCGAAGATCCTTTTTCCTTCATTTCCCAATGCCAGATATAAGACCGAACGTAATTTCTTGTCTGCTTCTTCTATTCGCATTCCGTTAAATTTCTTAGTTTCGGTTTTTATCGAAGCTGTTTCTTCTTCGTCATATCGTCTTTGTTCTTGGGTATTTCTCTCCAATCTCAAGCGTCTTTGGGCGTCTGTTTCACCGTCCGGTGGGTTTTCCAAATTTGGTGGTAGTGGATGTTGTCTCTCCGACGGATTGAGTAGATTTTCTATATCTATGTTTTCTTTAGCAATTATAGCTAGTTGAAACAGATCACTCCAATCTTCCCAAGGAATGGGTGGGTCTACCGTATGGTTTTGCCAAAAGGGAGGTATTCCTCTCACGTTGGATTCGTTAGATGACTGCGCCATGATAAAATGTTACTTTGTTGTAGCTAATTCTAAGTTAAAACTATTAAAAAGAATAAGAATTAAGATGAATTAGTCGGTAAGTTAAAACATTAAAACAATGAGAGATCATTCTCTCCGCCGGAGAGAATGGCTAATGAAGGTCATAACTAAGTGACCAGTTAATAAAATAAGTATGTTTAGCAATAATTGCAAAACCTGATGTAAAATCACAACAGCCGTGTTAACGAGTTTTTTGTATTTAAGGTCTAGAGGATTTTTTCAGGAAAAATTCTTTAAATTCGTTCAAGCTCAAATATAATTTTTCGAGGTTTGACCAATGATTTCTTTTTAAGTTCACTTCTTTTCCTTGTTAATTGAAGGCATACACCACCAACGAACAGCAAAACTATAAAGTTCCGAAAAAACTCGAATTACTTTTCATTTCAAAAATAAATTTTAATTTTCTGAATTCTCATCGAAGTAAAAAATACTTATTGAGCTAGTTTTCTCTGAATGGGATAACATTACAAAAAAAGTGCCAATCTTAAGCAGTATTTGAAATTCAAAGATTTTCAACGTGATATGATTTTATCGTCGAAATTTTTTTCGGTTTACTCGTTTTTTTAACACTTTTCCGACTGGCTATCGGCTCTGTTTTTCACGAAAAAGATCTTGGAAATTGATCGCGCTTTAATTTTCTGGGATCACGCAAATTTTGATTTTTCGGGGTTTGGTTTGTAAGTTCTGTCGGCGTTCAATTCAAATTAAATTGATAAAAGCAAGGCAAACTCAGTTATCAAATAACCGAAATTCAATGTGGGCAGAAAAAAAACGTAAAGGATTCGTGGAAAGGGTATATTAATTTTCTTTAGATTTCCCAGCGGAATAAAAAAAATACCGATTCATCCAATTTTCGCTAATTGGGACTTCTATAAATTAAGTGGCAATCATGCAATATTCTTGAATTTCTAAGATTTTTTAAATGACCTTTTCGAAGTTCGAAAGGTTGAAATCTTTTATAAACGTCATTCATCTTTTCCGTTTTCTTGTTCATTCAATGACACTTTCATCTTACGTTGCGTTTTGACTTCTGAAATTTGTTTCACTGTTGAAGCATCATATCGGACTCGCACGACGCAGCTGCTCGTTTCGTCAAAACAGCAAGCAGACGATCTTCGTCAGGGGGAGGAGACTATTTGATCCCGGGTGACTTCGAATGTATGCTGCAGGATGTTGTGGACACTCACAAGGGTTTGTTGTTCCTACAAGAGGCCAAAGATTTCCACAGTCGCTACATTGCTACTGTGATTGCCCGGATATTTTACTCGGTCAATAGATCGTGGTCAGGAAAGCTGTCGTTGCACGAAGTCAGAAACTCCAACCTCATACAGGTTGGTGTGTTATCTATCAATGAAAACCCAACACGAACCTCATACAGGATAGTGTGTTATCTATCAATGAAACCCAACACACTTTGGAAGATAATGAATTGGATATTGGTATGAAAAAATCTGATATGATCTCAATGACCAATCAATGGAGTATTGAACATATTGTATGTTATAAGACGATGTGAAAAACTTTCAATAAATGCTCCCAATTTTAAGGATGGAATTAGAGCTGCGAAAGAATCTTTGAAAAAAAATTAATGTATTTCGTCGTATGTTTTTTATCTGTTGGAATAAGTATACAACAAACAGTTTGTTGATCAGGGGCGGATTTAGGGGGGGGGGGGGCGGACGCCCTCCCCCCCTCAGGGATTCGACCCCCTGCCGACCCAAAGGGTCCCCCCTTTGATACTTTTTCAGAAATCCATTTTTGGCAGACTGACCCTAAAAATTTTTTAAAGGCGCCTTTGGCGCCAATATATACTAACTTTGAGGGGGAGCGCGCGCAAAAAAAAACGCTATTTTTTGTCAAAATTTTTCAAAAAGTGCCCAAAAACGGCTTTTTTGACTGTTTTTTCAAAAATTTGCCTGCGGCGCACAAAATTTTGCCAAAATAGGGGCAAAACAGTGCTTTGGGAGAGCTCGAAAAATCAATTTGGTCGACTTAAAAAAAAAAAGGTCGTCAAAATTTTGGAAAATTTTTTGAAAATCCGCCCCCCCCCCCCCCCCCCCCGAGAAAATTCTAGATCCGCCCCTGTTGTTGATGATAAGAAAATTGTTCCCACCACTTCAAGAAGTGGCAAGGAACTATGGCGTAGATTGTGCGTTTTTTAGCGCATTTTGACTACCTGAAAGTCTTAGGGTGTCAAGTGTGGTATCGTAATGAATCCCATTCAACCTTGAATGGGATGCTGTTTTCCTTGTTTCAGACTAAATGGAACGAAGTTCACGAATGACACTATGAGAGACTGAATTCTCAAAATTATCTACTTCAGTTTTCATATCTCTGCTTCATTTTTTTATCTCTCATTTTTGCAGCTTTCTTACCTAATTTACCTACTGACTCCTAAGCCCCCCCCCCATTCAATGATATTGATGATTCGGGGGCTTCAGGGGAGAGCGCACTATTTGTAGAAGCAGTAACCGTAAAGTTATTAAGTTCAAGTTGGTATTGAAACCGAGGACTAGCGAGTTATCGAATTTTGTCACACATACACTTGTTTAAAAAATTTTTTTCTCTTTAGCAATCTTTTTTTGTTTTGTTGAATTTAGTCTTGATGATTTTTGTATCTGCATTTTTTGTCTGTAGTGTCTTAAATTCAGGACAGCACTTGGCAGCTATAATGGGTTCGCTAGTCGTCGGCTCTTTGTTACTGATGTATTTATAGTTAATTCGTATGATTTGAAAAATAAGTAAGGAGAATTTAATTCTTCCTATGCCAATTTAGTCGCTCATCACTTGAAATAAACCAATGCAAGTTTAACGAAAACTGCAAAAAAGGTTTTTTTTGTCGATTTATGATTTTTTTGTTTTTGGTTAGCTTTACTACAATCGTTGTGCTCGGAACATTATCTTTATTTTATGTAGTTCTTTCTATATTTTCAATCACTCATGTTAAATAGAAACATGTCATCAATGAAAAGACTATTTAGACGTTTGAGCAGTTGGAGGTTGAAGAAGATATCAACAGTGTGCGAGACTTCTTCTCCTACGAGCACTTCTACGTCATCTACTGCAAATTCTGGGACATAGATCTAGACAGAGACCTTCTCGTGAGTCACTCGGACCTATGTCGGCACGAGTCCCACGCAGTCTCACAACGAGCTATTGACAGAATATTCCAGGTTTGAACTCAGTTTGTTCTTCGTTCTGGTCTCAAAATACCACTTTGTATGCCGTTGAATCTATTCAACAACCCTACGCCCAAATCACTTTAAAAATTCTGTTTTGGCCTAATTTTGAATAAAAAACACGCGTTTTTAGGTACTTTTTGGACAGTTTTGTCCAAAAAATTGTATTTTTTTGGCGCTCGCAAAACTTTAGGGCCAGCCAGCCAATAATGGAGGTCATAAAATAGTACCCAAGGGGGGACCCTTTAGGTACTCAGGCTGTCGAATCCCTGAGGGGGGTTGCGTTCCCCTAAATCTGCAATTGCTTGGCATTTTTTTAACGAATAGCCGGATGAAATTAATGAAATCATTTGTTTTTTTTTAGGTGTTGGACACTCTTGTTTGACTTTTTAGTCCGCATGGGTTTTAGTATTCAGTGTTCTGAAACTTGTAGGGTACGGTGTCTAAAGAATTGACCAGTAAGAGCATGAAGATGAGCTACAGCGACTTCGTGTGGTTCCTGATCTCAGAAGAAGACAAGCAGAGTGCAACTAGTATCGAGTACTGGTTCCGGATCATGGATCTAGACGGAGACGGGGCTCTGTCCATGTACGAACTGCAACACTTCTGGGATGAGCAGCTCCAGAGGATGGTCCAGCAGGACTTTGCCGACCTGCTTCCGTTTGAGGTGAGTTCGTTTTTCTCGTCAAGTTGTTTTTAAAAAAATTTAGTTTCAAAATCATAGCAGTTTTGTACACAAAAAAGCAATGCTGTAGATAGTTAATATCAATTTTCCCACGAGGGAAAGTATCAATATACGAGCTTGTTAGCTCTTTTCGGGTAAATACTGTTGTGGCCAGGTGTTTTGACCACAAATCTCCTCCTTATAAATCTCTGGGACTCAAAACCCGCCTCTCATTCGAAAAGAAAGTAGGCCAAGCTCCCCCTCGCACATGATTTGTGCTCGTTCCTTGATTGCATGACGAAGTTACCAGTCGTCTCGCCATCAAGAGCCACGGGCTTAGGTCATATGCGAGGGTGGAGCTTGGGCACCGACCTTTCCAGCTAGAGGCGAGTTCTTGAGTGTTCACCACCCCACTTCTAAAATTAGAAAGTTGGGATTCGTTACAGCACGGTACAAAATTCGCATATGCGTTAATCGTTGAATTAGTGATTTATGCGAGGTGGAAGATATTCTTAACTATGTACCCTGGGGGATGGTTAACAAGATCCAGAGGCGTTGATCTTCGTCACTTCACAACCGTCCCTAACAGTGGTTTTTGAAACTCTATGGAAAAATAAACGACCTATAAAATTTTTATCGTGTGTTACCATTTTGGCTTGATATGACACTTTTTCTAATAATTAACCTCTTGAGAATAAATGTGCTAATGCTCTTGTAATGGTAATTTTTGGACACTTTATCAGCCAATTATTGTTATGTTGTTTGTTTTTACTTCAGGACATTCTGTGTGAAATGTTAGACTTGGTGAAGCCAGCTGATCCCACACGCATCACTCTCTCGGACTTGAAGAGGTGCAAACTCACCCCTGTCTTCCTCAACACTTTCATCAACTTCAAGAAGTTCCTCGACATCCAGCAGAGACAGAACGTCGGACTCTATAGGGTGAGTTGTGGTCTAAAGATTCTGTCAACTCTTCGGATGGAGAGTGTATCTTTTTAAATATCAATGAACGAAGTGAATACACTTAATTAGGTCGTGTTTTTTTCCTGGAAGAAGTTAATAAAAGTTATTCATGCTCAAACATATTTTTTGCAATTTGATTTTGCCTCTGTAATGAATTTCTGAGTGTCTCTAAATTGTATTCGCTCTTCACTTACGAAAGAGGAATGGCGCGAAAAAACGTGATCGAATGTTTGTTTCCAGAGTAGAATTTATCTTATAGATATCCCAGCAGAGTAAAAACTTTACGTTACACTCAAGTGTTCTTAATTCGGATAAATTCTATCAAAAAAGTGCCTGACTTAATTTGTTTGTGAAATTCGAAGAGTATTAAGGTCATATGTTTTTGTCTTCGGGGAAAATCTTAAATTTTGTGTAAGCTTAAATTTGAATTTTTTTGCGGTTTGACTGTGATTTTTTTTTGAGTTCATTTCATTTCCTTTGTTTGAAAGAAAGCAAACTCCGCTATTGAACAGAAAAAGTCGGCAAGAAACACGTAATCGACTTCTAGTTTCGAAAGTGGATTTAAGTTTTCAGATAACCCAGCGGAATAAAAAGTTTACCTATTGATCCAGTTTTCTGAAAAACCTCAACTTTCGAATTTCAAAGAAAAAATACATTACTTTAAAGATGAGGTTTTTCAGAAAAAAAAATCAACTGTTTTTTCTGTTTATTTGCGTTCATTGGCTCCAATTGTACTGCTTCACGTGTTTTTCTGGAGTTGACTGACTATCATTCCAGATAAATTTATGAAGTTTTTGTAATTGTGGTTTTTTGAATTTTGTTCCATTTTTTCGAATTTCATGTTTAGTTTACGTGCAGTTTTAAGTATTTATTAACGAATTTGAACGTTAAGGCGGATCTTAAGTTGGTCACTTTGGAGATTTGACTGGCTTGATAATTGTTTTGTGTTTTAGGACGAGGAGGAGCGTCGGCTGAGTGAGCTTGAGACTGAGTGGGAGAGATATGCGAAGGAGGAGTACGAGAGACTGGTCAGTGAAGACGGGGACCAGGAGTCATACATGTAAGTCTGACTTGAGAACAGATTGGTACATTTCACTTCAAAAAGTCCTAGCTTTCAAAGTTTTTTCAACTGGCTACACTTAATATGTCATCGAGATTGTCCCCTAGAAATCCAGAAGTTAAAATCTACTCATGGTAATCAAAAGCTTGTAAACATACTTATGAAGTATAGCGGCTTTCGTGTGCTTTGGATCTTTTTCCTTTGGGAAATTTGTCACTATAACACTTGTGTTCAATCCACGCTGCAATGATCCTTCGTAACATCGCTTTGAATGACTTTTGCTTCGATAGGCATTAGTGCAGAAGGTAAATTGAGTGTTTTTTCAGGTCGTACGAAGATGACTTCGAGCCTGTTGGAGCAGCCAACATAGGGGAGAGCGGAAACCTATCATCAGAACAGCAGCAAAACTCTGTCGGCCAACTGAGCATGTCGGCCATCAGTGGCAACTTTATCCTCGGCAAGAATACCATGGAGCCTAACGCCGACCAGGCTGAAATCACAGATGCAATCATGGAGCCAGCGGATGAATCTGGAACTGAGAAATATGTTGATAAACTGGACTTAGACATGTTGAAACTAGGCTCATCTTGAAATCAGAACATTATTTCCTGCAACTTTTCGGGAAAAGGTGCTAAAGTAATGACGCGTCAGTGGAAAACCTAAAAATTTTATAAAACAGCGAATTCCTGTTCGCTTTTTTAAATTGAATGGCTTTCGGAGGCTGAAAGAATAAGAAGCAGAGTTCTGAATGGATTATTTAATTTAAGATCCGTGATTAGCTCCGAGAGATAATATTGCAGCTCAGTGAATTTGAAATTTTTAGTATTAATTGTTTGTAAATGATCAGTTAGATTATGTAAATGCCGATTTTAACACTTCGCATTATTTTTGTATTAAAGCTCGAGATATGAGCGGACGATAGCCGGTTGCGTGTAAGTACCACAGAATGTTCCGACCACAGTAATACAAATAAAGCTATTAAATTTTTGTTTTGAATTTTGAAATGATTCCAAGTTTTTTGCTGAATCCATCATGATATATTTTTCTCGCGCGTGCGTAAATTTGCTTGTTACTCTACTTTTTTTACCACATAAATTACCTTTGCATCGTGAAATATTTCTCGTGTGCAAGACATGGTTCTAAAAATAGTAGAAAAATCTGGCGAGTTCTAAGTCTTTTTTTTGCATTTCATTTTCGTTAGATGGTTAGAATACAAAACATTGAAAATCGACTGGTTTGGTATATTTTCACTTTGCTTTAGGCATCCTAAAAATGAGCGTTTATATAGATTCCTAAAGCACTGAAGCGTAAATATTGTTGAACTTCATACTGGTAGCACCTTTTCAAAGAACTCGAAATTATTTCAGCCAGTAGTCAATTATTGAACTCTCAAACCGACTAAATTAACAGAGGTGTCGAATATCAGTTAAAGGTTGTCAAATATCAGTTAACAATAAAACAAATTGAAAGGCAAAACAAGGGTATCCGCTTGATGTGCAAGTAAAACAGAATGATCGGACCATATTCATTAAAACTACAAATGAAAGTTCAAATTTTTAAGGTCTTTCTACGTGTTGTGATGAGAAAACTATATACAAGCTAAAAAGTTTGTAAATTTGGCAAAATCGACAACAGTTGTCTTCAAAAATTATTTCAAACAAATTATTGTTGCACAATATTTTTTAAATTTTCTTGCCAGGGAAGTGAGAAATATAGCTTCTAAAACTGGTTTCCGTTTAAGTTTATTCAGCCTAAATGACCAACTTGATAAATTATTATCATTTAGTTCGGCCGAACTTAGATGAAAACCAATTTTTTTTCGAATCAGATTTTTTTGAAATTTTTCTATGTCCAGCGAATCACGACTGCAAGGTTTTTAATATGATATATCACTCAACCCAGTCCGATGATCTTTTGTGGTACCTGATTTTGCGTGGAAAACAAAAATAGTAAAACCCTAAAATAACAAAGATAGCCGTTTACGTGCAAGTAGCACTGAATGTTCCGACCATGGTCTTTAAAAAACTACGTTATAGAATTTTTTTTCCAAGTTAGTGTTGTTTTCTGTGCTTGGTGTGATAAAAGGATCTGACAAAAATACAATTTAGGCATTTTAGACAATCATAGTAATATAGGCAAATTGGATAAAAAAACTCTTTTTTTGAAAAATGACTAGAAAAATTATTTAAAAAAATCAAACAAAATTTTTTGAAGTTTTTGGTTCCCAAAAGGAAGCTAAAAACTCCAAAAAACTAGTTTTATTTGCTTAGAGTTATATTTTAAGGTCTTAAATTAGGCATAATTCAGATAATGTAAGCTTGCTTGCTCGCTTTATTTGCTCCAACTAAGACGAAAAATCAAAAATTTTGATCCGATTTTTCTAGACATCGAGTAATTTTTTTTTTGGAAATTTTGTAATGTGGTGCGAATCAGGACTGAAAGGGCTTTTATATGATTTATCGTTCAACCCAATCCGATGATTGCTTATAGTTTCTGAATTTTTATGTAAAAACAAAAAAAAACTAACACTTGAGTACAAAGTCTCTCCCCATTTTCCAAATGGTCGGAACCATACTTGTCAACGGGCCGGGCCGCCCGTGGGCGTCAACGGGCCGGGCCGAGGTTTTCACTTTTGTCAACGGGCCCTACTTTTATAGAAAAATCTATAACTAATCTCCAAAATCTGACACTTTGAGTTGAATCCAAAGATCGGTTTTTTGGAATCTCGATTAGGCTTTCGAATAGATATACGCGAATAAGTCCCAATTTTTTACATATTATTATAGCCCTTGGGAAAAAATAGTTGTTTTTTCGACCGTTTTTTGAAATATTTTGACTCTTTTCGAGAACTACCTTCCAAAATCTGACTTTTTGGGGTTGAATCGAAATTAAATAATGCGTGAATCTCTTCGGCTCAAACGCTTGCGCCCTAAGTTTTCTAACAATAGACTGTTTCTCGGAAATGTCACGTTTTTGATTTGTTAATCGTTTCTTCCATTTTCTCGATAACTATCCTGCCAAATCTTATTTTATAGGTTTAATCAAAACAACAGGTTAATGAAAGCCTACCTTAATATTTGGCTACGCTTATTTTTCTAGAAAACATCTATGGCCTTTTAAAAACTTTGAAACTTTGAGCGTTTTTTAAACGTTTTGAGTTTTCTCGAAAACTACCGTGACAATTCCCAGGTTAAACGTTCAATCGAGAAACCCGGTTCTGGGAATCTTCTCTATTTTAGCGGTCATGACCTAATTTATGCAGAAAAGAGTTATGGATTTCGGAACGTCATTTTTTCAGACTTTGATTTCGGAACGTCATTTTTTTTGAGACTTTTGAATTTTTTTTTTGATTTTTGACTTCTTTTGTAAACTACCATCAAGTCTGAGGTGAAGTGGTCAATAAAAAAAACTGGATGATTACAGGCAAATTTGTGTATTTTGTGAATTCTTAGCGGATTCCGCAACACGGATGCTCTCATTGTTCTTCTTTTGTTATTTTGTTTTCTTTGATTGTTCCGACTAAACTTTAACTTGTTTGAAGACTTGTTATTTTTTGTAAAGATGCAGCGACATTATGGTTTTAAAGGTATGATGTTAGCACAATGAAATAGATTGAGCTTTCCCGAGTGCATGCAAATTTTTTGATGAAGTTTTCACACTTGTTTTCTTTCTTGGTATTTTATTGAACCTTGAAAATTGTGAGGTTTGTTCCGACGTGGCTTAAAGGTTACGCCGTTGTCTCTACATCATAAGGCTAGCGGTCCGAGTCCAGTTCGGACCTTGTTTTTTTAGTACGTATTCAAATTGAGTTTTGTTCCAAAAAAATTGAATTGTCGGACTTAGTATCTAAGCTTTAAAGATTTTTTTTATGAAATCTTTCGTTTTTCGGCTCGTCTTGTGCGCTCAAAAATTGTAGGCTTTATTTCATCCTCGTAGGTTTTGTCCCGTTGCTAATTTAATGCTTGAATATCTGGAGTGTTAGCCTAGAATGAACTTATATCGAGACATACGTACATTTAGATTTTGGTAGACCTAGGTTATAAGAACTAGTTTTGTATATCTGGTAAAGTTTTGTCTGCTTAATTGCCGCATCACGGTTTTTTCTTGCCTTCTAAGCAAGTATCATGTTGGATGCAAGTGTTTTTTGTGGGTGGATTTCAAACTTTTTAATGTTTAACTTTTTTTCTGCTCAAAGATTGTCGGCTTTGTTTTTGCTTCATAATTTTTGTTCCATATTTAGTTGAAAATTCAAATGTCTTACTTGGCACTCTCGCTCAGAACTCCTACTTGTTCAAAGCATAAACCATGAAAATTATGAGATTGGATTTTTTAGATTTTTTTTTTGAGATGTTTTCGATAGTTTTTTTTCCACTATTCGCAAAATTGTTAAATATTCTCCAACTATTATACCGATTTGACAAAAAATTGTCCTCCTAAATTGTCCTCATCATATTTTGTCGGGGAGGTATTAAAGTAAAAATCATTCAGATTAGACTCAGTATCTGTCAAAAGATTTCCACTTTAAACCTTTTATATGTGATTTTAACTGGTTTTCTATCCAGGTAGCGCTGATTTTAGTTAACAACCAAAATTTAGACTCTCAATTATAGCATATTTATTGAAATTTCCTATGATAAAAAAAAATCAACTCTTCGTCGGATTTTTGTCAAGTGTTTTAAACGGTTCAATTTTTTCTGAATAATGCATTTTGATTATCCTTTGAACTAATGTCTAAGTTAAAATCACAACTTTGGAAAAAGTTATAGATTACAAAGCACAAGTCAACAAATTGAAGACGAATCAAAGAACTGCCGAGCAGCAACTTGTTCTCAAATTCTTGAACAACTCAGTGGAGCGCAAGGCTGGTCTTGCCTCCATTGTCAGCCATTTTCCTGGCTGTTCGCTCACTGTAGTCCTCGGTTCAAAGAAACCCTCATCTTCTTCGATGGTGATGGAATTTGGGAGTTCTATCTAAGTTAGGAGGCCACATGAGACTGTTTCTTGCATTTGCACATGTGTTTTGACCATATTGGTCGAAAACAATCCACAGCAGAAAACATTTCTGTTTTGTTCAGAGAAATTAATATTGCGTAGCTGAGGTTGTTTTTTTTAAAACGGAAGAGAGTAACTGATGGTAGCGGACTAGAATTTAAAATGAGTTTAAGCTAAGAGCGAGGGATATTTTCAATTCAGATGCGTGAGTTTAACCAGTCAGAGAAGATTATCATAAAAGGGAACGTAGTCGTATCCAATCAATTTCAAGCTATTTTTACGGAAATTTCTTACTTTTTCAAACTATAAGATAAATTAGAAAGTGTTTTAGGTAGTATCCAATCAACAAATTTTCAAGCATTCCACAGCCGTATTTATTATAAAATTTTCGCAAATCTCTTCTCTTGAGGAACTAATTCGTTTCCAAGTAAAAGTGTACACAAAAGAAATTGCAAGAGTAAATGATCATATACTTTCCTCCGTGCTCCGTCAGAATAAAAAAAATGCAGGTGATGTTCAGGAACCTCATTCAATAATTTTTTGTATATGATAAAAAAACGTTGATCTAGAAGCAATTTTTGGATTTCTGTAGTTTTTGGAACTTTTTGCGACTAAGAGACAATAATTTTTTGAAAACAAACGTCGAACGTCGTGATTTTGTATTCCAAGATTTACACATAACAATTTGAGCTGTGGAAACCACGGTGGAATTGAAAAACAAAAACCGAATTTTGCTGGGATTTCTGGCCCATATGGTTTCTGATTGTGGAATTAAGACGAAATTTAACAGTTTATCATATGAATGCTGAATTATCTTGAGATTTTCTAGGACAAACGTTTTTTTTCTCGTTAGATGAAGCTACTCGGTAAGTTTGAAACTTTGAAAAGCTTCTATTGAGTAGGATTCTCTAAGTAAAACTTTATTCAGTGGAAGATTTTTCATACAATGCAAGCATCCAAGATGTTATAAAAAAGCA